TTATTTTTTCTACTCTCATTTTTTTTCTTTCATTACTATTATCATTAATCATTATCAGTAATACTTTTACTGTGATCATTTTATTTCTATCATTATCATTTCACTACCGTATAGCAAAACTGGCATTATCAGGGCCTTGAAGACCCACCCGAACTTCCCACCTTAGGTTCAAAATCTCGGGCAGTCACTCCAGGTGGACGCCACCTCTGCCACCCCCGCCGACGCTGCCCCACATAAAAGGGAGCGGCAAGCTGCAGGACCCGACATAAATCACCTGTCGTGGTGGCCCCAGCCCCAGGCGCCGGGACACCCTCGCCAAGGCTCTTTATGACGCCAATATCAGAGTACTTCGGTACTACAACATCCATGATGGATATCTGTCTATTGTTGAAGACAACGACCACGCCGAACGACTCTTTTCCGCGGAGATAGTCGCTTCCCTTGGGAAGCTAGGGTTCACTCCTGTCCTCCCTCTGGACATGAAAGCCAAACTAACTCAGACAGGTCGTAAATGAGAACGAATCCACCATCGCTGACGAGATCATGGCAGCTGCTCCAGGATCTCATGTTGAGCATGTCTTTGTGCTTAAGGCCCGTACTTTTAAAACCTTCGCCAGTGCTGGCGTTCACCTGGCGAAGCTTCGCCAGGCGAACCTTTGAGTGAGGGAGGCCTTACTTTTAAACCCAACGTTCGCCAGGCGCTAACATCTTGCATTCCCGCCAAATCTAGCGCAAATTTGTTTACATCTGCAGTGCACATAACATAACCTAAACTTAATTATTAACCTCGAGAGAAGACTAAAATGTTGTTTCCGCAATAGTCTCACTTTATACTATAACAAAGGAGTTAAAATTTAACTTTATGCTATAACAAAGAAGTTGAAAATATCTTTATACTATAACAAAATTAACTTTATACTTTATGCTATACTACACTTTATACTATAACAAGGTTAACTTTATGGCCCGTACTTTTAAAACCTTTTGCTTTTTCTCGCGTTTTTTTTTCATTCGCCGAAGCGCTAGATTTATCAGGGATCCCTTTCATTCGCCAGGCCAGGCGAACACCTGCCTTGGTTTTAAAAGTAATGCCTCCCTCACTCAGATGTTCGCCTGGCGAAGCTTCGCCAGGCGAACGCCAGCATTGGCGAAAGGTTTTAAAAGTACTTTATACTATACTATATCAACCTTATACTTTATACAAAAAAATAACTTTATACTTTAACAAGAGTTTAAAAATTACTATTTTACTATTCCTAACTGATGTAAGATATTGAACTGTAGGCCTACAAGGGTATCATTAAAGACGGCTCATTATAGGGCGGTGGAGCACTACAGATATGTTTCTATAGCCAAAAGTAAACATGCCGCCATAAAAAACACTTCTGGTAATAGTTGTGAAAAGAACATTATCCTTACAACCAAAATAACAACCTAAATCTAAATAAGTCATCTCGGGGGTGGGGGTAGGGTAGGGGTAGGAATACAGCTGATGTCTTGAGCTCTCGACTGGAACATCGAAGGTCTTGAAAAAAATACGTATATACGTTATTTCATAACAAATTATGATTTTAAGATATTTTTAATTTTCAATGTGATTCCTACATCCTATCATACACAAACATGTTACTAATTTATAATTTGAAAGCAAGAAAATGGTATTCAAACAGCTCTCTTCGCCAGGCTGTTTCAATATGGTCTTTCGCCAGCCCTGGCGAACGTTCGCCAGGCATGATTTTAAAAGTACGAAATTCCGGATCGCCCGGCGAAACCTTTCGCCAGCCCTGGCGAAAGGTTTTAAAAGTACGTGCCTAAGACAAACTACTTGATGAAAGTACGAATCTCTGACCACCTGTCTGCCAAGAACATTTAGGAGAAAGGCATCTACCTCTTTAACCTTTTCATTGCCCCCTGGCAAATAGAATCTGAACGCTTCACCCCAGTAAGGCAGTGCATGAACTGTTATGGCTACGGCCATCTGAAGGGCCAATGTAAAGAAGTGAAAAAAGACAGATGCTCTGAATGTGGCTCTGGAACACATAACTACAGAAACTGCACGAGTAACAAAAAGTGCATTAACTGTGGCGGTGACCACCGCACTTTTGCCAACAGCTGCCCTGTTCGCAAGGAGGCCATTAAGACCTCACACGAGAAGGAGAAGGAGAAAGAAGCCAGGCCACTCAGGGCAGTTGCTCAAAAGGCGGCACTAGAAACTGTACAAGCCACCACGAATGCCTGGAAACCCCTAATTAACCAGGTCCGCCAGGACATCAAGTCCACAGTCACTGCCACAGCCACAAAAACAGAGCCCAGTATTTGCCTTGCTCTCCCAAATGACCTCTCTAAGGACATCCTGGTGGTGCTCCTTCACGCCCACCTGCAGAACATCATAGCCCCTGAGAAGGGCTTCAGGCACCATGCCAGAGAGGCCCTTAGAGAGAACAACTTACCAGAGTTAGATCTCGGGGAGGGTGACTCATGGGGCATCCTTAAAGTTGTC